GTAGAATTGAAATCTAAGAATTGTTCTTTAAATATAGAAAGCAAAATTAGGAGCCAAGGACTTTTGTTTTTTGAGACAGGGTCTCACTATGTAGTTCAGGCTGGCCTGAACTTGCTTTGTAACCCATCCTGACCTTAAACTTACAGTAATTGTCCAGTCTCGGCCTCCTGAGTGCTAGGTGACCACCACACCCAGCTATGGGGAATGTTTTTGTTCTTTATGTTTTTGTTTTCTCATATAAGAGAAAACATTTGATATCTAAATTCCTTTTCTTTTGTATGAATTTAGGACAAGGTGTACAGGTAGTACAGGGTGTCACTACAAAGATGGGACTCGTAGTGATTCTCTTGCTTTCAACACTTTAATCCACTGAGCTATCTGGCAAGCCCTAAATTGGAGAAGGAGTTTTTGGGGTTTTGTTTGTTTGTTTGTTTTTTGGCTAGCTCAGGCTGCCTTAATGGCGGGTCTATAAATTCCTTTGTCTGACCTATTTAACATTACAATTTCAAAACATGCAAATCATATGACTTCATCTTTTATGGCCAAATAATATTCGATAGTATGTAGACTACATTTTCTTCATCCATTTGTTTGTTGATGGGCAGCATGGCTATCACCAGAACTTAAGAGATTAGATTATTAAATTGCTACAAACATGAGTGTATGTAAGTTTTATTCTTTTTTTTTTTTTTTTTTTTTTTTTGTAGAACTGGGGATTGAACTCAGACCCTTGCGCTTGCCAGGCAAGCGCTTATTCTACTGAGCCATCTCCCTGGCCCCAGTTTTATTCTTTATTCTATAATACTATAGAGTGTATTTTTGGGAAATGTGAAACTTTTAGGTAAAGTTTCTGAAAATGATCAAAGTTGAATTGATCAATTTTGCACATACCAATAATCAGAAGAAAACAGAAAATGTTACTAGAAACCTAGCTTCAGAAGTGTATAAGCATAAATGGCTTTCTGGATGTCTCCTTGCATAACTTTAGAGAACTTGTCTGACCTGGGGACATTTAGGCTCTTATACCTGTGTTTCTGTCTTCACTAGTGAAATAGGTATAATAACACCCATCCTTTTTTGTTGTATTTTAGGGAAGGGTCCACAGGCTGTTCAGGGTCTCACTAGTAGATCCAACTTGTAGTGATCTGCCTGTTTACAGCCTCCCAAGAGCTGGGATTACAGGCGTGCACCACCATGCCCAGTCTTGATTGCAGTCTCAGCGTACCCTGGAGGATGGGGGCCAGCATGGCATGCCCAGGGATGGAACCCTGGGCCCTTGTGTCTGATTGCAGGTGCTTTAATCCACTGAGCTATTTGACTGGCCCACACCCATCCTATTGTTGACACAAGGCCAGTACAGGACAGTAGTTTAAAAATAATTAACTGCTCGCTTTGGAAGTTGCATAATTGTAGCCAATGAGGTTTATCCAAGGTATTATTATAATTAATTGAAAAATTATTTTTTTT